AGTCTGGTACCAATTCACCGACCCCGGAGGGATGAAAGGCTTGGTTGGCCTAGGCGGGCATTGATCCGGGATTCGAATCCCTGACCGTGCGTGTGATACAGTGCGCCACTTGCCACTACACCCTTATGCCTCATGTGTCACAAAATTTAAGAGAGAGCCTTAATGAATAGACGAGACGATCTGTAAACAAAGTTATGAAAGCGTTTGCTTCGTGTCTAATTGTATTCCACTGGAAATATTATTTGAGAAATATATTTGAAAATACGTACATATGCATCTAATTTTGAACAACTGCCGCGACCTGATCTCCGTTGACCTAATCGACTTAGAAGAGTTCAAAGTCTCTTACAAAGGATAAATTAAACCTTTTTGTCGTCTTTTTGTCACAAAATTCGGTATTACCTGAAGAAGCACTTGGAAAGGACGGGTCAAGTTGGCATGAGTCGACGTAAGGCAAAATTTCTAACTCATGAGTAGCTACACCGGAAAAGGCGAAGCTAGTTGAAAACTTTCTTCAATTCAGGAAAGTAAAGAGGTTGAAAACAATAGAGCAATTGTGTGAACAAATCAAACATAAGAAACCCATCCGCGGTGAGCAGAGCATATTTGAAGTAGACGAAACATAGCGTAAATGGGAAATCAAACAAAATGTTAATTATGTTAGACATACCTGAACCATTTGAAATTCAGTAGACAGCACTCCCATTTGATGGCATCCTCCGCCTACGATCGCGCTTTCGAATTGAAAATGCTGCTTACGAAAGTCCATAGCTCTTAGCAAATGTTCTAGAATCCAGAAATAAGTCGTTAGAGGCTATCGAAGGTGGGGTAGTTGAATTCATACATGCTAGGCGAAGGTGCGTGAGGAGGACAAACTACGAACTACCTGCTTTACTTTGATCAAAAACGTTCTTTGTTGTTGTCAACGCGTTAGCGTGGTTTAGTGTTTAATCGGACTCAGTTAAAGTTCACTTCAAGCATTGTGTTTGTTTACGGTCGGCAAAACCTCAAATGTATGAGAAGGGATCTGTCAGCTCTGTTTATTATTCATACATTTCTGCGGAAGTGTGTCTTAACTCACTAACTAACCTTTTGTTCTCTTTAGGTGGAAATGTATGCGAGAATCGAAGTTCCATCTTCTCGTACATTCTATCATTCTTCTCGTTTATTATACTCTTGTAAGTTTTTTGTGCGATAATTCTTTGTTCATTCAGTTGTTGGTGTAAAAACATATTAATTTTGAAGAAATAATTTATAACTATTGTTTTTATTTGTGGGAAGGATTCAGACGAAGGGATTAGTAGTCCCAAGCAGCACATTCCCTGCAGATGTTTGATAATGCGTAAGTCCAGTCCTGGATCGGTACCTCTCCAGGCCCCAGAGCCTTTCGCTATCTTTGATTGGGATCAGGTTCGTCAGGAGGAGTAAAAGTGCTGATTTGTGCGTTGTATAAAGACTTCATGTATTCAATTAATCCAAATATGCATCCAAACGCTGCTACGATTTTTGGTGGGATTATAATTCCTAAGAGCATCGCAGAACGGAAATGTTCAGCACCGAGACTATCTTTTATGTTTGCACAATGTTTTTGAACTTATAGTGGCCATTGATGACACTTGTGTGAATACAGTTCTTGCCAAATTTACGCAAAAGCTCTCACGAACGAACACCTCTTTCGCCTTTCCTAGGTAAAAATCTTTATTTTTGCAGCTTCAAGTCCTTATTCGGGCTAGGCAGTGGAGCAGATGATAAAGCGAGCAGAGATCATCTTCGAAGATCGAATGGAGGTGGAGGTGGTCGATGGCCTGGTAGCGGTGGACCTGGAGGGCCTGGAAGAAACGGTGAGACTTCATTTACTTCTTGACCTACTTCACTGGTTTAGATCAGTGATATCATGGAGCTCGGGATCAGCCTCGTGTAGTAAATCACTCAGGTTGCTGATTAATCGGTCTTTGACAACACAGTGGGAATGCTCGCTCACTGTTCCTCTTTTCAGAGCAAATGCAACATTTCTGATTATAAGGTTTTCGACAAACAGGGACCACTTGTAAACATTTAATCACAGCGAATAACATGAGCGCCAAGTACGGTGAAGGTTTTTTCAATGGCAAGACACGAGGGATACTATACTACAGAGGAGTCATGTCTAGCGCAGGTAAATTACCTGTGCGCATGTTGTGTGCGTTCGAGTAATTGGTATACGTTTCGCCGTGTTTTCGGTTACTGTAGATGCTTCTCTTAGAAAGTGATATAACTCAGAATAGGGAAGGGGGCGTAGATTTTTCTAGAGGCAAAGAACAGCCACAGAGGCGAATTTTTTCACTTACATGAGAAGGCTGCTAGGTCAGAGCAACCATTCAGGGGTGATGATCATGATGGTGTTCGACATGGGTTCTCTCTCTTCTGTTGTGTGTTGATCTGAAAGCATATTCGGAATCTGGGGAGCGATTCTGTGAGCAAGGCATTGGATTCTCTCTCTTTGTTAAGATCTTGTCAAAGAAATTTGCTTTCTGCGGTATTACCCATATATTGACTGGGAAGAGCAAGGAGTTGCGCAAGACTTGCGAAACCATCTCGCAGGAATGGTGGAGTTCAAAAAAGGTTAGGACGGACGTCTCTAGGGAAACACTTTTCGGCGTTTCTCAGGGGTGAGGGCTGCATATGGCCAGTATGATCAATGAATGCAAGGGCTACGTACTGTTTTATGAAAAAAAGAGTATATACATCAGTGATGCGAACCTTCTTAACACTTCTATTTACTATTCTACCGTCACTCTCTCTCAGCCATCGCTGGACATCATCAAGAATAGTTCCCATCAATCGGTGTGGCAATCTTCAATTTTTTACCAGCTCGCCGAAATCGTTCATCATAGGAAGGGATAGGCTTGTAGAACCGTGTTCGTAGAATAATTTCACACATTACGGTCAGCATTCAAATACACATAGGGCGATGTATATCTTTAGGAGCCACGCTTGCCCGGTGTCCCTTCCCTTGCCAATGGGTTGCAGTTATTCGCGATACTGCCCACCTGTAATAATCCTTTCACCAGAGACAAAATGTGGCATTAAATGGCGAAAGCTGACAGAGAGCTGCCCCTGGGCCCAGCGGCCAAGTCGCCTTGAACCTATCGTGGTTGTGGTTGTGCATCGCAATTCATAATCGGAAACTCTTATTGTCAAGATCTCGCTTGTAATTGTCGTGGTCCGGCTTTTCGTCTCGATATCAGAAGCCTTTTCCAAGGAAGAGAATGAACGATCAAAAAACCGTGCCTATGTTGCCGAGTTTGAAAGAGTACTTAAAAAAAGATCACCTCTACATAAAACCTCCATATATCGGATCGCTTTAGGGATGATAGAAAATCAAAAGAGACGTAAGGCTGCGACTAATGTACACACTTATGGTTCGAAATGTTTCAGTGAAACATTGTTGTGATTGTGGCTAACGTAACCAGTTATTAAAAAAATACGGAGGGAATGGGGGTGGGGATGGAGTTGTATCTGAGAAGGAAGACTTGCCTTCAGTCGAGCACGATTAAGCATTCTTGCCCAATGCGGAACGTAATTGTGAAATATAGCTACCAATCGGGTCTCATAAAACTAAGTTATTTGACAGACTGGAAATGATATGACTCAGGTGGAGTCATCGAAGTCATGTCGCTGAAAGAAATGTAATTTATTAGTTCAAAGTGCTCCAGACAGTCAGTGAAGTCATGCCTATTTTAACTTTTACCACTAAAATTTAAATTTAAAATACTCCAGACAGAGAGACAAAACATCTCCCTACCTTTGTGGCATATTCTTCGAAAAAAGTTAAATTCGGAAACCCACACAGAAACAGAAAGAGAGGATTTTCTATTCGTTGAAAACGGTCATGTCAGGACTATACATGTGCTATCGCAGTGGCCTAGACTACATAGCGATGACAAAAGTAAGATTGAAACACATATGGGATTGGTAAGTGAAAGGGGTTGCTTTTCTAAGTGGACGGAACTCGGAGGCGAGCGCTTTTAAAGACCCGGGTCAAATACGATTGTATGTGCGTCTACAGAGCTGACTAGGTACTACATACAGTTTCTTTGAACCCTCCCATTTTTATTGTCCACATCGTGAAACTCTTATTATTATAACACATAATCAAGCCTTTTCGAAAGCATCGAGATAATACTTGATGAGATCAATAGCTAATGAAACGTTCGTCTTGATAAACACATTTTTAGGAGGATTCCGTCGCAACATAGGTGGTTTACCTCGTTCAAGCGGTATGTCGTGTCCGCCAATGGCAGGGGGAGGATGAGGCAGGTGAGGAGCTTCTTCTACTTGTTCGGCCTTAACGAGCACGATATTTTATTTCGTTTTTTTTTTNTTTTTTTTTGCACTCAGTGGTTTTCATTTCAGCTAAATGTCTGGGTAGCGCCCAGACCGACAGTGGCATGGGATGTGGTTTCGCCGATTTTTCACTTATTTGCTTTCAAATGTGCTTAATTGGGCTCGGCTTCCCTACAGTCCATTGCCACGCCTCCTCATTATGGGCGGTGCTTCGTGACGCCTTCACGCTAAATCACTACGACGCGTGTTCGCTGATGCTCCGCTTCCGTAATGGGAGTCTCACCTTCCTCTCAACGATTCCAGCTACTATTGCCTTTCTTGAGCGATGAGGATGAGCCACCGAGAATTCTAGTCCTTGGTAGGCCCATTCATCTTTGCTACTCGATTCAGTATAATGAGTAATTCCTTTCTATGTGAGACGTATTACTATAAGTTTGTCATTAGGTATGTATAAAAAAGTTGTTGCGGTGGCGGATTAATGAAGTTGCACTTTAACTGTTTTTTCAATCACCCTTACAGTATGCCCGGATGCACTGAATCATTCAGTCAGAGTAGCTATTTCAACTGGATTATGGTTGCGTGAAAATTATCGCTGATTCCTGTTCTGGTGTTCTTGAATTAGCTGTGATTAGAGCATTTGGTGTGGAACTCATTGTTCTCTTCGAAACCTTCCCGATATAACCTCAAAATGAGTATTTTGTGAAGTACTTGCATTCGTAAATGAAGTACTGAATGGTCAAGCGTGTGTGGAATGCATACAATTGGATCCTGCGTCAATCTGCTTACAAGTATACTGTAAGAAACACAATGTGTCAACCAACAGGTTGTCGAATAGCGAAGTTTCCACTAAGGCGTTTGGAGAGAGAACGCGATCCGGGTTGATATACCCTGGGATATCGCTTCTGCTTGGACGAGAATAGTAGTTCCCAAGTCCAGAGTACAGAAGAGTTTACGTGATTTCGCCAAAGTATAACTAGTTATGAGTTAAGGCAATAATTAATGTTAGCTAGTGGCAATTCAGAAAAGGTTCGGTACATCTGCAGGTAGATGGGACTCATAATAAGACTTCTAAATGACTGTGGTTAGTATGGGCTTTGCGTATCGTACAAAAGGCCGCACTTGGTTCAGGTTCTCGTTTACAAATGAGATACTACGTATGAGGCATAAGAGCCAGAAAAGGAAAGGGGAGCGCATAGTGTTGACTGTTAAAACGTCTCCCTTCACGCTGTTGCTATGCTTTATCCGTTGTAATCATCGCCATTGTGCCTGATTGTTTCGCAGTACCACCTTTCCCGCTGCTTCCTTCGAAAGGCTCATCGTAACGTTCTTCCCCGTTGATATTTACGGTCATCAACATGCTGAATTCACCTGCCGTTCAATTCGCTGAATATAACAATACTTCTCGTGAAAGATTGATTCGGGTGGAATTTGGTCTTTAGTTCCTTCCCTCATTGGAACTCCGTATAACCCCCTGAAGATAGGCTCCCAAGATTTTCTCCAAATGATTTTATTGGAGAGAATCGGATAAATAGCAACCTATCACAAATTTCCTTTAGAAGTGATCAGAGGTCATTTTCAGTGCTGCACCATGGTAGTCCATTTTTTAGTTCATTTTATTATGTCGCACTTCATACGAACTTCGAACAGGCACATTACCCTTAGATGTCATATGGTGCAGCCAACCGTTCAATCCTTTCCTTCTAGGTTACCACAGATTCACTGACTAATTCATTTGCGGGGTGGTCCTGCTACTCCACTGGTATTTCATACGAATTCTTGTACTTATTTGATGTCGCAAACAAGCTTTCCACTTGTGGATGCTGTTCATCACCCTCCCGAGAAGGAGCCCTCATTGTTGCCCTTTTGTCAAAAACCTTTTCAAAGGCGATTTACGGGCGATTTGTCTCGACTGTACTATTTTGATACCGAATCCCACGGATTGGTTAAGACGGATCAGACATGAATTCGAGTGGTCATCACCTTAGAAGAAAAGTAGGGTGAATCAATATAGTCTAGTGTATGTGCGGAAGACATGGCGTGACCAGTTGAAGTTCATTCGGCTAGGCAACTCAAAATTCCCCTCAGTATTTTTGTCAGTTTTCGAACGAAGAAATCATGAAAGTCTCAGATTTCGAATCAGAAATGAGTCAATAATATGAAGTGTCGTTGCGTTAATCGATATCTTTTCTGGGATGCTCCCAGTAATCGACTTCTATTCAAAGTTGTAAAGACGCTTGGCTTGAGTGTATTGAGTATGTGGGGTACAATACAATCAGTAGCTAGCCGATGTATGCTCATACAACCTGGCCTTTTCATCTTCCCAGGTGAATCTCGTGCCAAGTAACCCAGTGCAGAGAGAGGGAAGGCTCGGTGGGCGTGGGCGAGTATCGATCCGGGATTCGATTGGCAGTATTAGGAGATACGTGAGTGGTAAACATGGGGTTTCTCATAGTGACGAAAGTTCCCGCAGTATCATATCGCTTCTGTGTAGACAATTTCTAATCGCAGAGTCAAATTTATTTGTCTGGTTTTGAATAGGTTCATTTGAATAGAAAAATACAAAGTTCATCTGAGAGGACAGCAAGAGGAAAAATAGTTTTCTTGTTTGATCGTCTTTTATGTCACATCCCATAGCTACTAGCGGGCAGATGAAAGCCGTGGAGGGAGGCTGAATCTGATCCTTTGCGCTCTAGGAAGGGACATTTTTATCACAATCCGAGTGTCGACTGCTTATCTGATATTTAAGAGGACAATCTACGTATAGTTCGGTCATACAATGCCTGCACAACTTTTGTAGAATTGGCTCCATAAGACATCCCTATGTATGAAGCTTCTCTGTAGGGACCCTATGAGGAGCTATAAACAGCTTTCATTCGCGTTTTTGAGTGATAGCCACGGAAACTTCCATGTACTGATTGCTGAGTGATTGAGCATGGAAAACAGCTTTCAAGCGGTTCCTGATGGTTAGCCGCTCCTTCATCCATTGCCCTCTTCTCGATATGCTTCATGGAACGACTGTTCCCGGTCTCGTTCTATTCGAAAAAACTCGGGTTAATGGAGACCAAAATCCAGAAATTTGTAAGACAGGAATAATTTAATAATTCCACCTCATTATCTTTCAATTAGCTGCATGTGGAGGTTTTTCACTATGTATTGTTACTGAAGTGTGACTTCCAAGATGGTGAAGGCTCATGCAATGCCACTTGCAATAATTCGCATGCAAGTGGCGGAAGGGCTCATACAATGTCTTGTGATTCCAAGAATGGCTGAACAAAAGACTAGTGCATGATATAGAGAGGCAGCATCAATCAAAGGCAAAACTGGAAGGGGTAGAAAAGCCAGGGTCTTGCCGATCATGAGATCGGCATCGGAGCAGGACTTATCGAAGTTGTTCAAGGGGTGGGTTGTCAAGCAGAAGCTTCGTTGCCATTCCTATCGTCGTGTGCAGAAGTGCCACTTCACTGCCGATCTCAACAGAGAGTTCAGGGTTGGAAAGTGCAGAAGTTTGCTAACTTACTGTCTCTTAAATGGAAACACGTATTCCTTCATGGCTTTCTCTGACAAGAAAGTTTCCTGACAAATCCAATTCACAACAAATAGAACGATGGCGTTTCGGATAGAAACATTGGAGTGTAATCTCTGACAAAAAAATTGCTATAAGGACAGCAGAATGAGGGAATTAGGGCAATGGTCCGACGCCGGTGGTTTCGTTGGTGAAAGCCAGAATTAACAGAGACATTCATAATCAGCATACTGATGGAGGCACTGAAGTACTGTAACGACTCCGACTCTCGAAATAGCTCGTGATCCCCGCATCGAGACGGTACTCAAGGGCACGGCTCAAGCTTCTTCATACCGACGCCAGCTGTCCGACTCCATTGGCATAGAGGAGTGTTCGTTTTGTTCACCGAATCATGACCCACTGGACTCCTTTGTGTGGTCTCAGATTAGAGGAGAATCTGTCGGGTATGCGATCCTAGTTTGGAGTCCTTAGAATCACGCTCACGAGCGGATGCGAAGAAATGGAGTAGGGATACCCATGTGCAACATGCGAGGAGTTCGAGAACAGACTTTGGGCCTCCATTCCTGCTAATGGGGAATAATACGAAGGGTCGTTGTGACCTGTTGTTGTATATAATATAAGCAAATGAACGCCTAGATCGCTTTGGGGATCATAGCCTGAAGGTTCCAAATAAATCGCAATGAATAGGAGCTTATCATTCTGGGGGGACACCCTGTAGAACTTCATTGTTTACCTTTTTCCAGGATGGATTAGAGTAGTGAAAGGGCTTTGAAAGCTTCTTTAGCCAAAGTGTAACTAACGGAATTCGGTTCAAGATAATTTGTTTCTAATTTTCAGGATGCCTCGGAAGTGGAAAGACAACGCTTTGTCGGCAATTAAAGTAAGTTTTTGTATTGCAGCATGGCAGTATATTCATTTCCTCGTTGGTTTCTCGTCTCAGGGAGAATTCTTTCTGAAGGGCTTTCAGAGGAATACGCTCATGATAATGAGCCTGCAGCCATGTCACGGTCGCAGTGTACTGGATAGGGTAAAAATGGATATAAGTGGTTCTTGGTCTTTTTCGACATCATAGTGACATAAAGTTGTTGAGTTCTGAATCATTTTTGAGACCTTGTTAGTGATAATGTTGTTTGGGGTTTGCATGGACATCATCAGATGGGAGAAACGACGAGTATCCAAGTGACATGCGATAAAGCGTTGGATGCAGATACAAAACCAGTAAATAGGTGTACGAGCTTTCATCAGGTTATGGAGACATTTCAAAGATTAATTGTTTCTCGCCAACCAATTACAGGAGATTCATATCCACTACAACTTCATAACAGATAAGAACCCATAATAACTAGGAGTGTACAGCGTGAAAAGACAAAATCTTCGGGCGCTGATCAACCTCGTCTGAGGGATGTGCCCCGCACTTGACCTCCATTTAGAATCGTAATGGCATAATGAATGCGTATGTGGCCTGTGCAATAACTAGAGGTGGCCAGCCGATGTAGTAGTTAGTGCTTTTATCCAAGTGTGGTACCAATTAACCGAAGCTGGAGGCATGAAAGGTTTGTTTGGCCTAGGCGGATATCGATCCGGGATTCGAACTAGTGACCACGCGTGTGTGAAGTGCACCGCTTGCCACAATACCACCTCCACCCATGGTAACTAAGGGTAAGGTTGAAAATTGATATCCCACGTGCTTATGTTTTTCAACGCTGGTTCTTTGAATTGTAAATATAAAAAAATTTTTCTGCCTGAGTAGCTTATCAACTTTCACGATTGAGCGGCCCAAGTTAACAGGGGGAGCAAGAAAATCTATAAGAAAGTACTCAAGGTTTCTAGTGTTTGTGGTAACCCAGTTTGTTAGAAAGCTATGGAGGGCCATAATGTACTCCTCCGTTGCTCTACATCTATTTCGCCATTCAGGACGACGCAGGGTAGAGAAATAGTAATACTACTGCCTAACACCCTTTATAGCTACCAAATCGATCGCAACCTCGACTTTACTAAGAGTGGGAAATTTCTCAAGTACTGGATGAAGACCGTGCCATTTTCTGTAGGCTAACGTAATCATGCTTGGAAAAAACTGAAATGCTACAGGGCAACAGAGTTGAATCGAAAAGGGCCTTCTTGAGAAGTCCAAGGAGTTACTCAGCGCTTAATTTTCGTTATCGAACCCCCTGAACTTTCTGCATTTGAGTTTTCTCTCACTTTTTCGAAGATAACAAGGGCTGCTATTATTTTCATGACATATACTGAGGGCATCGATATTACAGTTTCTATTCAAGCAAACTCAGAGCCTATAGCATGAATGAGAAGACTCATGGATTTTTTGTTGCTCTCATAGAGAAGCTTTCTTTCTAGCAGCCTTACAATTTATTTGGGTTTTGAGATATGAATTTGCCCTCTCAAACCTTTAACTCGCTCAATGCCCTTCCTCGTCGTTCCTCGCGAATCATTTTCCGTTCCCTTACCATTTGGTTCCACTCCGTGGCAGTCTCTGCAGACCTCAGTAGTGTTCCATAGTATCCTTCTTTTTCTTTTTTTGCCATATCCCTCTCAATCTGGAGAGATTTTCCATATCGTTCTCCTTGTTCACCTTGCTCTATTGTCGTTTTGTCGCCAACATTTCTGGCGCACCTTCAAGTCGAACAAATTGTTGGCTGCACTGAAAGTGCCCTGATTGAAGCAGTATAGATTAGTAAGGATAATTAAGTTACCGTATACTCAGTCAAGATATCTAATTATGCTCATACACTTCTTGAGCAGTTGATTTTTATTCTGATCGTGCCATGAATCAAAGACTCCCTGGAATTCAATGGAATTTGGCAAAATACGGTAATTTCTTGTAAGTGTTATCCAATGAATGGGTGCATCCAATGGCATCGAACTGAAAATGGTTGTAAAAGGAAGCACATATTGTGTGAAAGCCTGAATCTCTACGGGTTCCCACAGTTGTTCCGCTGCTCTCCCAAGTCGCTTTGTCAAGTCTCATGCGTAATATATGTAGCGTCAGAAGTGGCGTGAATTCATCACGCGTGTGAACTTTATCATGAAACAACTTCAAAAAAGAGAAAAGTCTCATCTACTTAAAGAGAGAGAAAACATAGAAAATGTTATTCTATGTGATATTTTCCATAGATATCGATCAAGAATTCTTTGGCAGGAACGCCCGGCATTTCTGGTCAGAATTCCCGACATATTGTAAAAGACGAGCTTTGTCACAATTATGAGAAAAGTCATGCAGACGGTGCCCGTGCATGATCATGTTGGCATTTGAGGATGTAGATTGTCGACCCCATCATAGCGCCGTCCAATATGAGGGGGATGGACTTCTGAGGCATGGGAGACTTGAGTGGTTTGAACAGGATCTGATGGATCATGAAACTCTAGCAACCTATCGTTGCTAGCACAAACAAAGAACGTAATCCAAAGTGTCGCCAGAGAGGTTCATACAACTTATAGTGGTCTTCACATCTTGACGTCCCTTATCCTTGCAACTGATTGTTTATCTTGAATATTTGCGATGTGGTACCAGACTATTCGAATAATGTTCCCCATTTCAGCCGCCAAACGCGTTCTTCAACGCCTGTGGTCGAATTCTATGCACATAATATTCAAAATAATGTACTCAATGTATGGAAATCGCTGAAGATCGCATGCGATGAATTGGAAATCAACTACAGTAACTTGAAGGTAAGCGGCTCTATACTTATTATTATTACCAGTATTATTGTTAGGGTTTGATAATAGCCAATTGATAAGGAGTGAAACCGTTATGGACCGGACACCGTTAGGCTTCTTCCTGGTGGGACCACTTATTTACTGAAAGCAATGCCGACGAAGTTCTGCTCATTGAATGACTATTCACAAGTACAGGGATTGAGGTCCTGGAAAGAAAATTGCAAGTAAAGCTTGACTTTCAATTCTTCCCCGGGAACAAAAGGGCAGATCATTTACCAGATCATTTCACGAGCGACATCTACTAAGAATGGAATGATTTCTTCGAAAACTTCAAAAATGTTCGATGTTATAATTAATCAGTTAGATATTTATATTCATATGCAAGCCATTACTCATGTGTAAAATATTTCTCTGTTCTTTTACGCAATAATGACTGACTCGAGCGAATGTCGGATTCTGATCGCATCTGAAGAGACGCAAGAATTTATTTCAAAATAGAAGTTCTAATTTCACCTAGCAACGATCTACCCCGGTTGTATACATTCCCTTATTGTGAAGTTTGCTCTACACGGATCCGAAACTGGAACCCCAGCTCACACGATTTGTGAATTTCCCGAAGTGCAACGCCTAAGGACGAGAAATACAGAGAAACTGAGCAAATCAATGTAACTTGCAAATTAAGCAAATTAACATAATCGGAAACATAATTATGGCCATAACTATAATTAGGCATACTGTAGCAGTTCTTCCTATGAACGGTGCAAGTTGCATCGGCCTATTTTACTCGACAGAGATACAACTTGAGGACCAAGTTTTCGGTGTTACTAAATCTCGTTTTTGAAATGCTCTCCCACCTCCGGTATTCGACCTCCGTTTAGCACGGCAAGTTCAGCAAAGTTTACTTTCGTCTTCAGTGGGTTTCGCACTTTAGCCCAGTCCGTAGTGGCCAAGAATATTCCTCCACAAATCCCTCCAATGGTTGCTTACATGAAGCTTTAGATGCCTATGAATGAAGCGTCTTCTGCTAACAGACAGGGCTCGGTCTTCTGCGAATCTCATAGCCAAGTTGCATTTCTCATGCCAGCAATAATACCTGGATGCTATAAAGAGAGGAGCATGTCGGTTTCCTACGTCCTTCAGCGGTTCCGCCATTATTATTGCTATCATTAGCTATCATTCACATAGCGCTATCATTAGCGCTATGTGAATTATTTCAATTCGTTCGATGGTAAGTGCTAATAGTGTTAAATCAGTGAGCGTGTTTGAGATAGGATGTAGCTTTTTAGTTTGTTTTTCTAGGATCACTTGCGCCTACCTGAACGTTTACTTTTGTGAACCCGAAAGAACGTCTTTTGACTTTATGTCTCAGCTCTTTGACTTTGTTTTTTACTTTCCTCTTTCGAAAATGGGTAACACATAGGTCTGAGGATAAGCTGCTTTAGATGAATTTGCAGTACCCTCATTGAATTCCCTCCAAACCGATATTTAGTCATGAAATTCTGTTGCTTAGTCACGGAATCGTTGAAAGAAAAACAAGACATTTTCGCGGTCATGCAAATTGCACCGATTCAAACCGTGGTTTTCAAAGAATTTGAAAATCAAGCAAACTCCAAGCCCTCTCTTCTATATCGCATGATTGAGTCCCCTTAATTAGCGTCTGTTGCTATGCTCGAGGCGTCCTCGATGTACAACATAGTTTTGTCGTAAGGCTGTGTATAATAGGCAACTATAGACAACTATAGACATGAGGCCAGCATAAAGAATCACAGTTCAGTGGCGTTATGTCTGTCAATCCCACCCATTGCTACTATAAATGATTCCTTCTACAACGAAACGAGGTGGTAGGTTCCATGAGGATGAGCTGTTGATGCCAGATCAGAAATACAGAGCAATAGTGGTATTGAAGAGAGCAACTGCACTGTTACTATACTCATTTGACCGAACTTGCGGTGGTCAGCTGAAGTCCAAATCACACGCTCATGTACGCCTAACAACTTCTTCCCGTATTGTCGACAACATCGGAGATTTCTTCCCTTCAGGCTTTACTTCTGCAAGACCCAGCCACTGTACAATGCAAAATATTTGCAATACAATTTTAATGAAAGAGTTTCACGGAGTTTCGTTCATAGAACGTTTTGATGCTAAAACAGACCGTGTCTGACTTTTCGCTTTTGCAGTTTTGAGACAACTTACCTGAATTCTGAGGTGGGGTTTTAGTGGGACCTTGGAGAGCCAGTTTTATGAACTGATCTTTTAGAAGTCATGGTGTATGCCTGTTAGAAGATAAAGCGAAGGCCTTCAAGGTTCATCAAACTCCCTCCTGGGATCCGCCCTACATTGACATTTTATTCAAAATCGTAGAGGAGGTTATGTTACCTACCAAATGACCTGCGGTGTTCGCTGAAGTCCACGCGAATGCTAATCTGGGTCTATGTTACTCGTCCATTCAAAATACTATGACGATTTTGAACGAAAGCCGGATATCAAGTGGCGCACCTCAAAACATGATTGCTGAACGTCGACAATCCCTGTTATTGTTTGTTCCGTTCAGGCTAGCCTGGTAACAATGCATTCCCTTTGAATGTCAGGAATGCTCTGCATTCAAACAATTATCAGCTTGTCGTCGTCATGGAATGCTTTGCACAGTTGTTAGAAGGACGATATTGAAGAAGCAGAACGGGGGAGTGACTGTGTCATGGTCAGGCAATTGTCGCCCACGATCTGGTTTTTTGACACGCAATAACTTTCTCATTTCTGGGTAATTGACTGCAGCTACTAATCAAAACCTTCGACTACATACATTTGAACAGAATGGGTATACCTCGATGAGAAGCTAACGCCATACACTTTTCTTCAATCAGTTTGATTCTCACAACTGCGGCTGCTATAATAACAACAGTAATTACTTTCCAGTTCTCGTAAAGGATTCGCATCAAGTACCTACCTAATGCAGGACGTTCTGGGATAGATGATCCGAAAATGTTCCCTGGCAGTTTCACAGAACCGCTTAAGGAACAAAAACCATTGAATAGGGATTTTCAGTCATTAAAAGCATTAATACCCTATCAGGGCACCTTTCAATTAGAACTAACTGAAAAGCCTTCCGTGAACGGCGTGATGACTCGTTGCTAGGTGATTTTATGCTAGTAAGTGATGAGGCAGATTGGCTGATGCACTTCATAGTGTCCATTAAAAATGAAGGGACATTGCCGACTATAAAACGTTTTTGTTCAGGACGATTTCAAAGTGCTCTACGATTTCAAGCATCGTGAAAAGCTCAGTGATAAAGTGGTCGCCAGTCTGTTGGCCGTTTCTCGCACTTCATTACTCGAAGAATGCCAACGAAAGAAACGTATCCTCCCGATGCCCTACAACTACAAATAGTGAGTGTAATTACATGATACAAAAAAGAAAATGTCGAAAACGGCGACCTAAGGGTGAGAGGAAAAAAGTGTGTCTAAAAACGACGTGCATTCCTCGGTCGCTACGATTTTTTCCATCTATTTTCTCACGCCTTCTATGTTTTCCTTTTTCGAGAAGTCAGCCGGATACGAAAACAAAAGTGATTCTCTCTAGAACTTTAGAATAGGTATGTCCTAAGGGGATCGGGATACGACGAGGGTGCTTAACCGCGACAAACTTTCCAAACTTCCGACAGCAGTAAGCAGGTGATTCTAATGCCTCGAATGGGTCTCTGAATGCTGCAGAGCTGACTCATGCATCAATCACTCACCTGACTGAGCAGCTTTGTAAGCAGTTCTCAAAAAGCATAGCGGTCGCAAACTCTTTGGAAAAACGCTTATGCGTTAGAAAGTCTTTGATTTAGAAAAAACTTTTCATAAGCTAAGGAAGCCAAAAATATTGTCAAGACTTCTGGGAGATTTCTAAATGGGGGCGGTGCTAAAATGCACATGGAGAACAAAAAAATACAAATTCAGCAAAGCAAAAACTACCATAAACTTCACGATTTGAATTTTATTGTCACTACAACACCGCCACTATTTTATGTTCTATTAGCATATAGTAAACCTGATTTGTACACCATACAGTAGAAGTAGTGCAGATAGGGAAAGTCAATGATTTCACGGCACTAAGTTGTAACCCAATCCGTCTTCCAAGATTCGCTTAGCTCAACGATTATAAACATTCTAATTGAAGACGTCTCTTGCTACCTCTGTTGTGCAAATTCATTTCACTGTGAACTCTTCCTACTGAAGTACATAACATCCCTCACTGTAGCTCACTTTACGCCTTTATATTCCTTAGGAAGTCTACCATTTCAAACGATCTTTGCATGGAGTAGTCACCACATGAAAATGACCATGTACTAAGTTACATTTTAATTCACGAAAAGAATATCCTGAAAAAGGTTCGATGACTAGGGAAAGTCAATCTCAAGAAGTGGCGCTCGGTGCTCTTGAGGTAGCGAGAGAGATTCATTCAAATTTTATCCAGAACTGATTATTACTTTTGCAACAAAATAACCTTTTTTTAGCCTGGAAGGATGAAGTCCCTGACTACAGTTACAGTTCTGATGACTAATTATAATGTAAGAGCCAATTAGACACACGTGGTCTAAGTACGTGCTCAATCAATCGCTCCAAATAGCGCCTGTCCATTAAACCGTCGCTAACGGCAGGGACAATTCTTGATGGGGGAAAGAGTCCCTTGGAATTAATGACTATCGTTTAATGTGCCGTCCATTGTATGTAGAATATTGTAACGTTGTAATTTCAGTTTCGTCCAGCACACAAATCGAATGATCGCAGACGGCTATCTGCCTACTGAAGCCGATATTCTCTATTCGTACACACCAACGATCGGTCTAGACGGGCATGTGATTCGACTGGGAAAAAGCAGATACGAGTAAGTCGTCGAGTATTCGACAGCAAGGGTAGCCCGAATCATAACAAACTTGTTTAGAATATTCAAAAGGCTGACATAATCACAAAAATCCCATTACTCCTAGTACCCTAGTTGCACTGACTTAGCACCGCTACTTCCACAAACGTGCGATAGTTTTGTGCTGACCGATGTTTCGGTGGGTCAGATGATAGCGCGCACGTTGACGATTGAAAGTAGGATTCAGTACAGGAGTTCGGTCTCTTTAGTCTCTAATGTGTCTATTCGAATACATGTCGTTCGAGGATTGAGACATGAGGTGGAGTTCTGCCTCCTTTGCAATTTATTCCACACGAGGTCGCCGTATGAACCAGGTTTCTAGGCTGAATTTTCGTGCCGGTGACATTCTGTAAGCATAGGATTTTAGGGAAAGATTGTAAGAGAATGAAGTATACGCCGTAGTATATAGTAGTGTTTCCATGATAATAACTTCACTTGGTCTGAGTGGCGGGTTAACGGTGCGTGTGAAATTATGTGGCTTTCCTAAAATGTATTAGAACCTCATTTAACTTCGGGATTTTCTATTTTAGTAATCACATTTAGCACTTCACGTGCTCTTCATAAAACAATACTTCATTTTTAAGTGTGCTGGAACTGCCGGGACATAGGATTTTCCGACGACGATGGAGCGACTTCTTTCGAAATACCTCTGTCGTCGTATTCCTGATCGATCTTTGCGAACTATGTGATAATGCCTTCTATACGGTGAGCACAGTACTTCTTGTCAAAAGACCCAAACTTCAGACTATACTCTTTCACTTTTTTCCTCCTGACTCTCAGGCTTGTGCTCTGACGAGCAAGAGTTGGAACCTAGTTTTTCTGATTTCTCTAAGGTCTACAAACAATTTTTTTGCGGAACTCTGAAGCCTCCATATTTCTTCATTTTGAAATTTGTCACGGCGACCTAAAAATTGTGAGCATTTGCTCACCTGAATTCCAAAAAAAGTTAAGTAATTACAAGTAAAGTGCACGTTCCCCAAACTGACTTCTTATTCAGAACCTTTAAGGGTCATCTCAAAAACAAAACGATCAATATCTTCGAAAGGCTGGTGCAAAATGAACTTCTTAATCGTGTTGGATTTATACTTCTCTTCAATAAAAAGGACGCATTCGAAGATATGGCCCGTGGATTTGACTTCAAGCAACTATCATCAAATGTAAGTTCGTAGGAAACTGTCCTGTGGACGTGGTGTAGTGGGTGTAGTGACAGTCGAGCACAATCATAGCGCATTGGCAGGATCGAATCCCAGCACGTGACCAAGCCCCAACCATTGCCTCACATCCTTAGTGTGTCAGTTAATTTAACCCATATCTTCCTGAGGGCAGTATTGAAATGTGTGGACCACAAATGCATACGAAATGCTAGTAGGATTCCTTATAGAGGTCGAATGCAGGGCGCATCCTAAAAGACCCTGATTGTAAAAAGAATCTAAAACTCAGGTTTGTGTAGTTTTTCAAGAATATACTCTCGAAAAATTACTGAAAAAGGGGATCTTGATATGTGTAATGTCGAGTAGCTTTCCATGCGAACCCTGTGCTAGATTTAGGAGTTTTGCCCATTCAAAATAGCATGGGTTGAGCAAAAGTGCACTTGTTGGGGTGGTTTGACGCTATACTTTATTTATGATCTGTTTTTTCAGGCTTCCTCCGATATACCGACTAACACAAACAAATTTCAGCTTCGATCTCCACAAGACGCCCTTAGCTACTATAGAACAGTGTTCATGGCTGCCTCACCTCCGAAACGTTCGTACCATCATGTCATCTCACTTATCAATGCTCCGAACCTTGGCCTAACGTTGGGCGACTCTTTGTCACGGATATTCAAACACAACACCCAGGCCACCACGATCACCTGATTTTCTCTGTCAATGGAACGGCAGCCATTGGCTGACTATGACTGCTTCACTTCTGCGACTCTTCATGCCTATCACTGATTGATCTTACGAATTTCAAATTTTTTAATTTGCCTTGCTCCATTATGGTGATTACCACTGTACAAATAATTCACATTAATCGCTTTATAAACGAGTCTTCAATTTGACGACATTGAGTGACTGTGGCTTTTATCGGTATAATCGTTCAGTAAATGCTTCGGGTAAGCGTGAGTCTAGTAACTCAGCAAAACTTTTAAGCACATTCGAGCCAAGCTGAATATCAAGTGAATCTTTTGGAATTTGAGTTTACTTAAGCACAGAAGATTGTCATCCCAGGTAGAACTCGTCCAGTGAAAAACATTAAAAGCTGCTCGCTTTTTCTCTACTTTTTGCAAAATATTGTGCAACCTTTCAAGTCACTCGCTGCTATATTAGGCTGTCAGAAGATTTCTGTCAAAATTTTCGCTGTAGTCAAATTTTTCCGAGAATGTTCTGAAAGGTTCCATGAGATTACTGTACAAGGAGATTATTCACTTGTATGGGGATAACATAGCTGATCCCTACTCCTTGCTTACATAATCCTGTAGTGGCAACACTATCCTACTATATATAACACGCTAATCTGTGTGTTTGTGTATGTGTCTGTGTGTGTAAGTGTGCGTGTGTCTGACCGAAAATTCCTAGCTCCTGTTCCTGTGGACCTAGAACGTTCAGATTTGGTAGGAGTATAGAGGACAGGATGGGAACACTTTTGGTGGGTGAAGGAGCAGACGCCGCCCACAGGAGACGGGGTTTTCGCAAAATAAATTCCAAGTGAAAATCCGTAACTCTTGATCCCGTGGAATTGGAGAGCAATGTCAGCAGGAGGAGGAGGCAGAGGGGAACGCTGCCGATAGAAGAGGCCTCAGAGAACAAGATCCATCCACAGATTAAATTTTAGCGCTTCTGTTCTAGCTTTGACTCTTTGATGTGTTTGATTCGACAAGAAGTAAGTGCGGGGACAGGGAGGGACCGATAATGAGGAAATGGAATTTGGTTCACTTCATACTATTTAATTACGATCGCCACCCAGCAAAACTTGCGATTCATTCAAGGCTAACCTCTCCTTTGATTTACTCTTGGCAAAACTTATCCGACCGCTAATAATCTTACAAGGGAAGGATCCCAAGTCGAAGTGGCCATTTGAAATGGGACCTGTACTGCTAGGCGTATTTTTTGACGCTAATTTCAAATCTGCATTCAAAATCTGCCAAACGATTCTCTGAACGAAGTTATGGAGGTGGTCTCCAGAGAGCGCTCAGCATGGGAAAGTACAAAAGCCGTGGTCGCCTGCAGCCCATCAGTGGCGG